CACGTGTCCTACGAGACAAGAATAAATTTTCTAAGATGATTTCCATAGTGTAAATAACAGTGCAAAAATTTAATATTCTGCAGATTCCTTCCCTTATATCTTCTTCAACATATGCTGGAGAGCTGCACATTTCACATTGTTTGCATAACTTGGTGATGTAGGATTTTATTTCAGGGATTTAACCTACCCTGCTGGACCCATGAACAAAAGGTAGCAAAGTTTGATATCTTTATTTACTATGAGAATTATGATTCAAATCTGTAAATCCCTGAACTAAAATTGAAAACTGTGCATATAAACTTTCTGAAAGGCTTAACAAGAATTAATAATGGTGCAGTCAGGTCTTAAAGATTCAATGTAAAAAATGAAACTGAATTCTGAAAATTATGCTGCTTGGAAATTCAAGATTCAAATGCTTTTAAGGCAGGGTAGGTTAGATGATCTTCATTTTTTCCCCCACTTTCTAAACCTGATGATGAATTTTTAAAGAAGGATAAATGAGCACAAGCTACAATAAATCTGTGCATTGATGACTCTCGAATTATCCACATTAGGGATGAAATAACTACTGCCTGTATGCAGCAGAAATTAAATTCAGTTCATGAGTGCTTCAATTTGAGCAGCAAATTTTAACTTCTGGAGAAAATTATATCCGATTAAAATGCCTGAACATGATGATTTGAAAGGATACATCACTCGTGTGATGGACATAGTCGAAAGACAGAAAGCTATCAGTGACAACATTCATGATCAGCATGTAGCCTCTTTTTTGTTAGTTTCAATTCCAGAATTATACAATAATCTTATAACTGACCTAGAAGACAGAGAGGAAACTCTTATAACTGTAGGTCTTGTAAAAATTGTAAGAACAACAAGCAGATCAAAGCTTTATTTTTCTCAATTTTTTCTTCTTTCTAGGTATTTCTTTCTCCTGATGAGGAGGGATCTTTAGCTGCCCTCGAAATCGATTGAGTGTTTCAATATACTTACGCTAAATACAAAGTTGTTTTTTATGATTTTGATTCCTCAATGGCATTTTAAATCTGCAGTAAATGCAATAAATTCTAAAAATAATTCATCAGAAAAATTTTGAAATTTTTTAAATGCAGTGAGCATACTCATGAGCATTTTTTAAAATTACAAAAACAAAAATAACTATTCTTATCCTGACAACTTAAAATCAGAAACTCATGTGATGAAACATGTCAGAAAATTGAAATGGCATTGCTCGAGTGTCGAGACTTCTGATGAAGGAAGCTGTGAATCGAGTGACAGGTCTCAGCCTGTGCCAGTCAGAAGTACATTTACGAAAAGGGTTTAATAATTAATCCACGGTATTGTTCAAACAAAATATAAAGTTTTGTATGCCGATTCTTGTGCAAGTAGTAGAGATAAAAGGAGATAAAAGTTTCCGGAGCTGATTATATGAGGATTCGCAAGAAAAAATCATTTTAACAGACGGGAAAATTTTATATTCGCGTGGCAGAGGATTTGTTGATCTTGATTTAGAGGATGAATGTACACTGCAGAAAATTAGATTAACTAATCTTTATCACAGTCCTAATTTAAAAAGCAATTTAATTTCCTTTAAGCAAATTGCTAGTAAGAGATATCCTGTTATTTTTGAATAAGAAATTCACATCATAAAAAGGATAGCCAAATAATTAAGTTTGCATATTCTGATGATAATTGCTTACATAAAATTATTCTAAATAAAAAAAAATCAGAAAGTGTTAATATTGTGGTAGAATGCAAAAGTAAAAACTGTATACAAATATGGCATTCAATCAGGGTCAGGCCATAGTAATTGTGGTGCAATCAGACAATTAATAAGGGATAATTTTGCAAAGGAATTGCAATAAAATTGATTGATCGATAATAAAATTAGATAATTGTATTCATAACAATAACTGTTTAGAACACATAAAGAATATAAAAAAATTCTGAAAGCTGAGATTTTGCATTATGCCCAAAGGGCGTTCATTTTAATGTTTTCTATGTTACCTTTATTTATTAAATATCATGCTCCTCGCACTTAAACCATAAAATTCAATTTAACAAAAATATTGCAGAATAGTTTTAAATGAGCATATCTTTAGAATTTCCAATTTTCTTAGTAAATTAAAAGACTCAGTATAAAAAGAAAAAAAAAAAAAAATTGGCAGAACCTTAGACTTTCCGAACTGATAATGGCTGTGAATATACTACCAAAGAGATGGAGGAATTTCTGTCTAGTGGCAGCATCAAACATCAGTTTGAGTGAAAGAGAAAATAGAAGCCTTACTGAGATGGCTAGATGTCAACTGTCAAACGCATTCTGGGGTAAGCTCTCAACACAATAAATTACAACCAGAGCTTCCTTCCAACCAGATCTTGTGATAAAACCCCTAAACTCCCTATGCAACCTTTTGCAGATTACCGCATATCAATGCTTGTTTTCAAAGAAAGATGGGAATGACACAATAATGATTGTTATCTATATCAATGGGGATATCCTTATAGCATACAAAAGCAAGGATAAAACAGGAAAACTAATCAAATATCTCAATGAATCCTTTGAAGCAAAAGACTTAGGAGAAATCAGAAACTACTTAGGAATCAAAGAAATGACAAGCTCCTATTAATTAGAAAATAGAAAAATTTTTTCCAGATATCCGCAAGCCATCTTAAACATCAATGGATGCTTTTTATCCAAAGGAAGAGGACATCTCTTCACCAGTGGACAATAACAAGTATAGGCATGCCATCAAAGCCATACTATACACAGCCACTGAAACCAGATCAGACATAAACCTAGCAGTGAACCTGTTAAGCATAAAAAACAAATCACCAAACGAAAGAAGCACTGGAGAGCAGTTCTAAGAGTCATCCAATACCTGAACTCTACGAAAGACACTTATCTGGAAACTGACTTTGATTGGCCACTAAGACTTTTCTGTGATACGGATGCAGACTATGATTTAACCACTAGACGATTAGCCGCAAAAAATTTATTCTTCTTAGGAAATAGCCCAATATTTTGGTCCACAAAGAGAAAAAAAATTTGTTTCCTTATCATCTACCAAGTCTAAGCTTATTTCTGTTGCCACTGCTGCTCATTCATTAACTCAAATGGATATTAGACCTTCTTAATGATTTTAGACTACCCATTAAGTTATTTGAGGAACTTAATGTCCACAATATCACTTATACAACATAGAAAAATGAATACCAAGCTAAAACATTATTAATGTTAAATATTTCTTTTTAAGAGAAATGGGAAAAGAAAGAAAAAAAAAAAAATCGAGATAACATAATGCTTTACAAATTCTATGATTGCAGATAAATTCACCAAGCTATTGCCCAAACTAAAATTCTTGAAATTATGAAGTGAACAAAATCTAATTTCCACTTTTTTCCCAAATGCATGGTGAAAGAGGAGATTGTTGAAAATTAATCAAGCATTCTGAAAAATATCTTTTGTAACTCACTTCTTCTAGTAATGCTAGTAATGCAAAGACATGCACCGATCATGGGCAAAAAAAATCCCATGATCCCTTTTTTCCTTTTCTTTATTTTTTATTACTCTTTCTTGTGTGCTTGTATATATCTTTAATGTATACATTGCTTCTTATTTTTTAGCCAAAACTGAATGAATGTGATTTGCATTTAAATGCTTTCCTAATATTAATGGAGACATGATGAAACAATAATAAACAGTATAAGATTTAATTTTTGGAGATTTAACTTGTGCTGCTGGACCCATGAGCAAAATGTAAGCAAAGTTTGCTATCTTTCATTTTTTTCACATTATTTTTTACTATATAGAAAGATGAGTGTTATTAGCAAGATGTTGTCAGATTCTCCACAAGAGCAGTGTGATTTCACATCATTGCCATTTTCTAAAAGAGTGTTTTTATCCTTTATTTAAATGCTATAGCTCATAATCAAAGTTTATAATAGTTTGGTTTATTTAATTTGAAAATGGTATGCCAGTATTACCTGAACAAACCACATCCCAAATTAGATGGAGAGCATCCCGAGGAATGGAATCTTAGAATCATTTACCCCTAAACTGCTTAATATGATGTTTATAATTATGAATATCTTCATCTTCAAATTACTGATTTAAAGCAACGTATTTATGCTTAAAGTGGAATAAAAGTGACAACAAAATAATAGGCAACACATGCCACTAAGACACATTCATAGAATATTAACACAAGAATGCAGTAGTGTTGCTAAAAAAAAAACAAAAGTGTGACTACATAATTATGGATTTAACACTTCATGTTTAATTTCTATGTTCTCCCTTATTATTCTTATCTTTCAACATTTTCTTCAGCAATTTCTGCAGTTATTTTTATCTTGCTTTCCAGTATATTTATTTGAATATCTGTTTAGTTTTAATTATTTGACTATTTGTTTAGAATTCTAGATATTTTTAAGCTTGATTTCTGGAAAGTATCTTTAACTCAAATATTTAATTTCTCAGAACTGTTTTCTTTAATTTAGTTTTATAGAAGCTCAGTTGTACTTAGAACAGTTTGAAGAAAATTGAAAGGATAGGGATGTTTTAAATATGTTCATTCAGATGATCATGATAGTGATGGTGATGCTAAAAGATGATATCATGTGGGTGGACAATATTAAAATCCTTAATCCATGTTATGTAATTAGCCTTATACTTGCTTAAGAAGAGGTAAAAAATCACACATTATGCTAGTTTTATGCTCCTAAGGTTTTAGTTGGGATAAATAGGTACATTTAAAGTAATTCTATGATAATTTTGATCAGACAGTACAGTATTGTATGTAGAAAAGTATTCAGTAAAACCTAAATTTTATTAATATTGCATTTAAGTCGAGAATTCTCATTAGATTTATGTCAGTGGTGTTTTCAAATTTATTTTATTCTAATCAGATAAGAGATTTTCCCAAATAAGCTGTTTTCTTTTGGACTTTTTTAATTTTGGCAATGCACAAACTGTTACCAATATTCTGCAATTTTTTATCTTGCAGCTAAAGATTTATCATCGTACAAAATTTTCAGTTACAGATCGACCTCAACAATACAGTACGACCTTGACAAGTGGTGAGTTTTTTTAATTATGAGAGAATTTTATATTTTGAACATATTTTATTATGATGGTCATATTTCAAAATGCTAGCAATTTTCTTATATATTTAATCAGAGTTTTAAAATTGTACATTACCAAAAGTTAAAAATAGCTCTGTACATTTCATCTTCTTAAAAATGCATTTTCTGTAGTAAACCTACCAAGTAAGCGTTATTTATAACCTTTAAGCACATACATGCATTTGAGAAATAGCAGTACATGTGAGGGTAAGCAATTACGCCAAGCTAAATGCCATAAAAATCCCACAATTGGATAAGAGGTTTAACTTAAATTAATCCATTGTATTCTCATTTCCTTAACATCTTCCTGTTATCTACTATTTTCACATTTATGTTGACATTTATATGGTTTAATGTATTAAATATTAAACTATTGTCATACTTGTGGGAATGGCAGAGACATGACACAATACATTATTGGAAATTTAATCCTTCATTATATAGAAGTACGACTTTTATGTACAAATATATACATGAGGATGATATTATATGATTTAAGAAAATAACTCGGATGAAACACAGGTGTTCAATACCTTACAAATTAAATCAGCCACGCTGGATACAATCGAAACTCAAACTCGGGCGTAAACACCCTACCACACTTTCTGCAGACAACTCTCATCTGTCTCACTTGCTGGATTCTTCCCACAAGGTAGACAGCTGATTGGTAGACCACAGCCAGATACATGGCTTCCCCTCTGGTAAGATTGTGCTATGCCAAAGCGAAGCAAAATCTGAAAACTGAACCAGGAAATGAGTTCACGAACTTAAATTGTATACTCCATAAGACAATGCTTAATAATAAATGCTTATTAATATTTAAATCGTCTCACATTGAAATAAACATTTAAGTACTTAAATGACATATATAAACACTTTTACAAATGTAATACCAATACTTGCCTAGTATTTCATTATATATTTTTCCTCAACTAAATAAATTCAAAATATGACATATATATATGACATAATAACATAATTGGAAATAAGTGCAACAAACAGTCATCTCGCAACAGATGAACAGATGCCTTGATACAATACCGGAGTTCTGTAATAAAACATATATGCAATACTTTTTTAAAACACAATATTATAATGCAACATTAAATGAAAAACCACTTAATGTTTTTCAAAACAGATGGAAAGTAGCTCTCGTACAATTCCGGAACAAAAGAAAAATAACTAATGCGAAGTTTTAAACATATCAGTTCATACTTAGTTCACACCTATTTCATTCCCTAACCAGTCTTGAAAGATTATCTGCATTTTTTAATTGTGCACCAGAGCAATGAAACATATGACTATTATAACACTGAAGTGCCATTGCCATCTCTGTAGTTTGGCAGAATGCGGTGCAGACTTATGCAAATATAATAATGGATTATGGGGTTGTGATCAGCTCGATATTCGATCCAAACACCCAACACTCGGACTTTTTTAATGACCACACAACGGCATAAGCCTCATGTTCAATAGTTGACCAGTTCTGCTGAGTTTTCAAAAGTCTTTGGCTGACAAACCTGATTGGATGCAAACTGCCTCTGCTGTTTCGTTGTGAGAAACAAGCACCAACACCATATGAACTAGCATCACACTGTATGGTATGAGCTTTTTTTTGGGGGGGGGAGGTCTGGAGTGTAAAGTTTTGGTGCTTCACACAGTCAACGTTTCAGATCTTGAAATGCTGATTCCTCAACATGTCCATGGAATTATCTCAGGAATTTTCTTTTTCGTAAGCTCCGTCAGTGGGCGAGCTATTTCTGCATAATTCTTTATTTAATCACGATAATAATTAAATAAGCCTAATGCACTCTTTAGAGCAGTCTTCGTTTTAGGACTTTCTATAATTTCGATGGCTCCTGATTTTTCAGGATCAGGTTGATGTCTTCCAACTCCTATTATATATCCTAAATACTTTATCTCCAATGTGCAAAAATATTATTCTTTAAAAAATATTATGTTCACCATAAATCTGAGATCACTTAATGAATGTAGTTAGCACAGCATAAATGTTTGAGATACGAATTCCAATCTGGTGAAAAGATAGCAATATCATCAATATAGGCTTTGCAAAAATCACTATGTTTTCTTAAGGCATCATTCATCACTCGCTGAAAAGTAGAAGCTGCATTTTTTAATCCAAAAGGCATCACTTTCAAGCGGTATTGGGAACGATGTATCTTGAATGATGTTACATCATGACTTTCTTCTTCTAAAGGTATTTTCCAGTAACCTTTCAAAACATCTAAGCAGGTGATAATATTTGCATGTCCAATTTTATTGATTAGATCAGTCATATTCTCCACTGGAAAATCAACAGGCTTGGTTACTTAGTTTAACAACCTGAAGTCAATACATAAATGCATATTTCCATCTTTCTTAGCAACACGTACGACTGGGTATGCTATTTCAGCTTCACTTAGCTCAATAAGACTCAAGCTGTCTAATTCTTTTATCTGTTTATCTACTTCAGGTTTCAACGATTCTGGGATCTTCTAGACATATGGTTTTTTTCCTATCAGCTCCAGGTAACAACCAAATTCTATGTTCACCAACACTGGCTATTTGGATCTTACCAGAAAATAACGTGATGTGCTTCAGTAAAAGTTCGTGTAATTCTTATTGCTTACTGCCATCTAAATGAATAATATCCACCTTGATGTCACTTCTATTTGCTATACAATCCACTTTAATTGGAGTTGGATGAATTTCCCCAAACTCAGAATCATCTTCAAATATTACTCCCACAGTTTGTACTCGAACATAAAATTTTCTTATTTTGTTTACATGAACATGCTACACATTCCCATGTGGTAATTTAACCTTATAAGAATGAGGATTTACTCTTTCAGTAATTTCACCTGAACCTGTACACCTAGCATATAGCTTGTTGCTAGAGTCTGGTATAAGTAAATATACTAGATCGCCATTGTAAAATTCTTTCATATTTTTGCGACGGTTAAAATAATATGTGTAAGCTTCTTGTTTTTCCACGGCACATAAAGAAGCGAGATCAGCTGCTTTCTTTAAATTTATCTTTAATTCTTGTAGATAATCAACTGCTGAATTACTCAGATTAAGCGATAATGTTATTTCACCGGACCATGATGATTTTAACACAGCTAAGGGACCTCTAGCTTCACGACCGTACATAAGTTTAAATGGAGCTGTTTAACCTGTAGTGCAATTTGAAACTTCATGATACGCAAAAAGTAGATAAGGTATGTGGTTGTCCCAATTAACAGGATCTGTGCGAATTACATGATGTAACATTTGTTTAAATACCCGATTCCATTTTTCCACTGAGCCATTTGATGCTGGGTAACCAGGTGTTGAAAAACGAGGATGAGTTCCTAAACTTTTTTCGAATTCATGAGTTAATTGTGAGGTAAAATTAGTGCCTTGATCACTATTTCTGGAATTTTTTTTTTTTTTACAAATTATTTCTGGAATACCGGTTCTCATAAAAATATCTAAAAGAGCATCACAAGTAGCTTTGGCAGAAATACTTTTTAAAGGTATGACATCTGGCTATTTTAAATGATTATCTATCAAACACAAACAATATTTATGTTTCCTTCCTGAAGGCGGTGAAATTTCACCAATAATATCTATAGTTACTGTATGAAAAGGATATGGCGCGCGAACAATAGGAGTAATTGGAATTTTATCCGATTGTCTTTCTGGACTTTTTAATTGACATCTTTCGCATGTTCTACAATAATTTTGTACATCTTTGGATATGTTTGGCCAATAAAATGTAAGCTTCCTTTAGTTTTCCGCATACCTAAATGATTTCTGAATATGGAATCATAGGCTAATTGAAAGACTTTATTTTCGATAATTCTCGGGCAAAACAAACTGTTGTATGTTTTCCCCACAAATTTTTTCTTTATGAATGACAGTTTCTCTGATCAACCTTAAATTTATTTGATTCCGAATAATTGTTTAGTCTTTCTTCATCCTGATTCGCAACTGAACTATATAAAAGATTTACATTTGACAGTTCAACGGTGCCAATCTCAAGTTGTTTATGAGTTTCCGGTTTCTTCTCAGGAAAGACTGTTGATTCATTCTCACCTTCAAATATGCAATCCCATACATCTGGTGTAATTAAACATTGAACATTGTGCTTATCTGTCAACACGAAAAGAGATCCTACACGCGAATATAGACAACTGTTTGGTTTTTGTAATAAATGGGAAAAGTTGCTAACGTTGCCTCTATGACATTGCCAAATGCAGAACTTAAAATGATTTTACCCTTACTTTCTATTTTTAAATCAGAAATTAATGTAGTGTTCAAAATTGGTATTTCTTTACCTGAATCTTTTATTTGCTTTTACTTGCTTCCCTGCAATGTAAATAGTAATCTTTTCCAAGGAATAAAAATTATTTTTTTTCGTTGGAACACTCACATTTTTGTACATGTTTAGAATTTACATTTGTAACAATTGAATTGTCCTTCGGTTTACTTGAAGTGTTAACTTTCGGTTTTACTGGAAAATCATCGTTCAGTTTATTTGACTTATCAAATTTAATTCGCCTGTTTGGGCAATCTTTAGCCAAATGACTGTTACATCACATGTAACATTCTTATGGTTTAAACAAATGTTTCTGTTCACTTATCACTGAATCTTTTCTTAGCACTGGTGGAATATGAGGCGTATTCGGAAACTAAGTACCGTTTTGAAAAAAAAAAAAAAAAAAAAAGTTAAAACACTTTTTTCGAATCCAATTTTATTTTTACATGAAAATACATGTCTTAAACTATTTTTCAACATAGTTTCTGCCAATGATCAAACACTTGTCATAGCGGGTGACCAGTTTTTGCATACCATCATCAAAGAAACTTCCCGCCAGTTTCAATAACCACGACTCCACAGCATTTTTTGTGTCATCGTCAGATCCAAAGCCCTTGCCACCAAGCTCGCACTTCATGTGCAGGAACAAGTG